GGCCTATAGTTGGATTTCGGTTCTGGCGGACATCAGACAAGCGACAGGCTTGTCGTCGTCCAAACCGATTGACAACTTTGTGGCCCATAAAGCCATCATTGCCAACCAGCCGTGCCAACATGCGACCCATCAAGTCGTCATGCAGAGGCACCGACCATAGCAATCTCCGATCCGCCTAATAGGAAATAATCATCTCAACAGGAAATAACTATTCTAAAAGACTTGTTATCTACATGGAATGGGCAAAGCAAAAGCCTTGCACGAAAACTCAAATTTCCCAAAACTTTACTGGATGTTATGCAATCCAGAAAGGCCGGTACAAAACCCACGTACCGAACTCCGGCAGGATTCAGTATGGGATTTTCGTGGCGCTCAGACGTTTGATAGTCCAAGCGCACAATTCCATGTTTTCAGATTCCATGCAAAACCGACTCATAGGAATCCCCCGAATAAAAGGACCAAACGGACATTTGTCCGTCTGTCCGATCGGACGTGTCGAACTGCTTCTATCAAGGAGTTTCCAATGAATGGCCTCCAAGAGAGCAATTCCAACACCTACAAGAGGCGAGGACAAGACACAACACAAAAAAACTTTCCTAGTTACACACTGTATGTCACTCCGCGCAATGGAAATGAAAAACAGATGTGTAAAAAATGGAGGAACCGGTCTCTGAGGATTTTGGAAATGTCGCTATGGACTAGTGGTGGAGAGAGAAGATTGTTGAGTTGAGCAACTATGCTGCGAGCAATGGCATAGCTTTCAGCAACTTATTGTGGTGATGATGTTTTTTGTGTCTTGTTTGTTGTTGCAAGTTTTTTCACGGGAGGGATCACGCAAGCCCGCCTGATCATCGTTGGATATTGTGAAACGTGTCACCAATGACGTTGGCTCTACGATCTGTGGATGATGACTGCTGGCGTGAGGTGTGCCGGCGATTTACTTGTAGCTCCACTCGGCTGGATATGAGTAAAAACTGCTTTCTGGTTGCTTCTCCTCAATTCCCTCAAAGTCCTCAATTTCCTCACTTGAGTATAATGAGGACTTTGAGTAAATTGAGTACTTTGAGGGAAATGAGGAGAAGCAACCAAGTTGGTGGCTTCTCCTCATTTGACTCGTTTTCGAAATTCCCACAAAGATGTCCACCAATAAATTTATTATCTCCCCCACATTGTCGGCGATGTTTTATCGCCAATCAAGTCTTGGACTGGAGATGTGATCACTTCCGTGAAGCAATACCGGAACGGGTTTGACAGGAGATTGTGAGTGGCACTTCGCTTATAGATTCGAAAAGTAATAGCTTTGACTTCTACCGCAAAATTCTTCAGCACAACACTGACAAAACGAAGGTGTTGGAGAAAGAAGAAAACTTCATTTTGTTTTTTGTCGATGATTTATTTTATGAGATTTTAAGCGAGGCTGTTGCCAAATTGAAAATCATGTGATTGTGAATATCATCCCCCAAAATTCGAGTTCATTTAACAAACTTTGGACACATATGAGTAAAAACCGCTTTTTGGTCGCTTCTCCTCAATTCACTCAAAGTCCTCATTTTACTCAATTTGAGGAAAATGAGTACGTACCAGGAACACCCGGCAAATGACGAAAATCCGTACCGCGCGGGGTCGACTGTGGGAATTCTGATGTCTTTCAATTGGCGATCCCTGCCTTAAATATATTTCAGTTTTTAAACAATATCATTTTCACAGAACAACTTTATTTTCGAACTCACACGTTTGAGTTATAACTCAAACGTGTGAGTTATAACTCAAACGTGTGAGTTTTTACTCAAACGTGTGAGTTATAACTCAAACGTGTGAGTTTTTACTCAAACGTGTGAGTTATAACTCAAACGTGTGAGTTATAACTCAAACGTGTGAGTTTTTACTCAAACGTGTGAGTTTTTACTCAAACGTGTGAGTTATAACTCAAACGTGTGAGTTTTTACTCAAACGTGTGAGTTATAACTCAAACGTGTGAGTTATAACTCAAACGTGTGAGTTTTCACTCAAACGTGTGAGTTTTTACTCAAACGTGTGAGATTTTACTCACAGAGCCGAGCTTCCCCCTTTTCCAAAACCGTTGCTGGAAATTCGAGCTGGCGGACCAACGACTACTTTCACCAAAAGATACAGTCCAGTACTTTTCCAGATCCAAACCCTATAAAAGAACTTGTCACGCAACATCATTGGGACAAAAACGAGTTCTACGGCGAGGCAGGAGGTGAAAGGAGAGAGACTTTCAGCCGCTTCCTCACCGACAAGGTCAGAAGAAAGGGTTTTGGTTGGAAAGAATACGTTGATTTGCTGGATGAACGGGGAGTTGACATGTCAGCAAACACGGAGACGCAGCTGGCAACGGAACTTCAAGCCAAGGGAGGGCCAAACGATGCCGTGGTGAACGACGCTCGTGCTGTTGCGTTTGTTGCTGTGCTTGATTCTGCTAATGAAAAAAAACTACACTCAACATGTTATTTCTACTAAAAATTCTGACATCGCCATGGACGACCTTGCGCAATGCTCACAACAAGGCAAGAGACAAATCGTTACAGGAAGATTTGATTTTGGCTGATGACCTGGCCAAGCACCCAACAACCACCCATAACGCACGTGGCGAGCTCAAGTTTTATTTGACCAGGGCAAAACAGAAAAAAATCATGTTGGCCTCACAGCATCGGAGTTTCAAGAAACTAGGGTTGAATACCACCCATTCAAAAAACGAAAATTCAGAGAGCGGATTCAACAAGAAATTAGATTTCAAAAGTACCGCAACTGTCTGGAGGATAAAAGAATGAAGAAGCTGGCTAAATTGAAGAAGGAAGAAAAGAAAGAGAAAAAGAAAGAAAACTTGTTGCTCTATGAACAACGTATGAAAGTAGCAATGGCCGAAAAGGAGGAGGAAACAAAGAAGCAGGTGGAAGAATCGCCGATGTCTGAGGACTAGCAAGTAGTAATAAAATTGTATTAGATATGTGGTAAATTATCCTATTTCAAAGAGAGGGTGACCGTTATTCATTTTGAATTGGACTGTTCCAACAACTGCAAGGACACATTTTTGATGTTTGTCTCTCGAATATTTGAACCTGTCGTCCAAAATAATAAAAAGCACTTCAATCGACGATTAAAAGTTTCATGGCGAAGCCGAGCACGTTACTTATTCGTGGTTTTCTTTGGAGGCTGTGTTGCATCTCTCTTGAAGCTGCCCTTCCCCCATTGGAGAACATCATCCCCCTGACATTTTCTGAGTACGTTTGAGTTATAACTCACACGTTTGAGTTATAACTCACACGTTTGAGTTATAACTCACACGTTTGAGTTATAACTCACACGTTTGAGTTATAACTCACACGTTTGAGTTATAACTCACACGTACTCACACGTTTGAGTTATAACTCAACGCCGTGAGTTATAACTCAGGATTCCGTTGTGATCTGAGTTATAACTCAGAAAAAGTCACAATGACCAATCGGTCATCTGTGTCCATAAGTCCCTATTTGATAAATCATCACATATAATAATATGTCATTAATAGTTAAAGGGAAATAACATAGATTTTTCGAAGCTAAAAATATAATTTTATTTCTCCGGGCACGAGCACGTCAAACTTTGCGATCAGTGTCCCGAAAATACTCGGTCTGAACATTTGCCGGGTGTTCCAGGGATACCCCAACTGAGAATTTCGCGTGATTGTAGTGAAAAAAGCACCCTCAATGGCACGGAAGGTCGCAATTTTAAAGTTACTTAATGGGTTCACAATTGAAATCAATTTCAATAAGAAAATATATTTTCCAATCATTTTCATTTAAGGGACGAATCAACCCCATTTAAAACGTTTACTTCGAGGCCCACGCGGAATTCAGACATCACGCGAAGGCCCACGCGGAAATCAGACATCACGCGAAGGCCCACACGGAGGCCCACGCGGAAATCATACATCACGCGAAGGCCCACGCGAAGGCCCACGCGGAAATCAGGGCAGGTATGATAAATATGTGCGGATTTTTTTTGTGAGCGACAGTACAGATTCTACGCACGTCTACACAACCAAGGTGTCGCTTACAAATCTCACTTTCCGGATCAAAAATATATTTGAAATGGTCGTAACGACAAATAACGGACATAACGACCAACAGTTTTAATTTGAAAGTTGTGAACTTTGGAAATTTCGTCTTTTCATTTGCGTCAACATCAGCTTGGGCCGTCCGAAAGGAAGTAAGAACAAAAAAAGCAACCATAAGGCTGGAGGCGACCGGAAGTCAAAGGAACTTCAAAGGAGGAAAAAGCTAAGAGAAGCCATGAGTACTTCCTCTCACGGCGACATCAAAATGATCCATCCTCTGCAAAGTCACCACACCCTATGGAGGAAGCGATTTTCAAGATTTCAAAAGAAGTGATGGCAGAGTTCCTTAACCACCCGTCAATGCCAAAAGGAAAATTTATCCCAAACCAAGGCACTGTTGATTTTACAAATGGGAATGCTTGGGAAGTGAAATATGACGAGGATGATGACAGGTCTGCAAATGGAATTGGGGACTACGGAATTGGTGCATCAAGTGATGATGACAAATCATCAGCTTCATCAACAAGGTATCGCCAGTCGTACACGCCGAGCCAAGGGACGCCTTTGTACAAAACCTTCTGCTGGCTGTAGTAGTATCACGCTAGTACTATCTTGGAAACCCTTAGCCGGACACTTACCTGATTTCTTTCATGGAGGGCCACCCTAGAACGGAAAAATGACTAAAGAACATGAGACATTTGATAATCTTTCAAAAGCAAAATAAGAGATCCATTATTTGCTACAGAACTTTGTTCATTCTTAGTACTAATATGCTGGTGCTCAGTTTTTTTTAAAAAGTGTGTTTTGTATGGTATTAGAAGCTATGAGGAATGATAAGTCTGTCCTAGTAATCAAGCGACGACAAGGGTGTATTCTTGGGTAAAGTAGTCAAGTAATGGAGACCACTGTGACCATCCTCCTTGACAAACGCAACATACAACAATTAAACACACCTAGAGCGACGCCATTTCTCTTCTGCTGGATGGAGTCTTCTCAGAGATGGCTTGATGAGTCTGTAGTAATCAAGCAACAACGACAATGTATTGTTGGGTAAAGTAGTCAAGCAATAGCGACCACTGTCACGGTCATGAATGCAAATCGCAACCTTCAACAATCAAACTTACCTTGAGGGACACCATTTCTTTTCTTCTGGATCGATTCTCTTCAGAGATGGCTTGATACTAAGTCTGTAGTAATCAAGCAACGACAATGGTGTATTGTTGGGTGAAGTAGTTGAGTATTGGTGACCACCGTCATCTTCATGATTCACAATTGCAACATCCGACAGTCAAACTTACCTTGACATACTCCATTTCTCTTCTGTTCGGTTGATTTGATAAGTCTTCAGCAATCAAGCAACAACGATGGTGTATTGTTGGTTGAATGCAACAAAACCATATCATGACATGAGCGACTTCTTTCATCAACATGATGCACGTGTAAACATCCAACAATCAAACTTACCTTGTTGAGTCACTTCTGCTGGATGGATTGTTCTCAGAGATGGCTTGATGAGTCTGTAATAATCAAGCAACGACAACAGTGTAATGCAACCAATGGCGAACACTGTCATGGTCATGATTGACAATCGCAGCATATCACAATCAACGTTACCTCGAGCGACACCATTTCTCTTCTGCTAGATGGATTCTCCCCAGAGATGAATTGATAAGTCTGTACTGATAATCAAGCGACGACAACGGTGTATTGTTGGGTAAAGCAGTAGTCAAGCAATGGGGACGACCACTGTCACGGTCATGATTGACAATCACAACATATCACAATCAACTTTACCTGGAGCGACGCCATTTCTCTTCTGCTTGATGGATTCTTCTCAGAGATGGCTTGATAAGTTTGTATTTACTCAAGCGACGGCGACGGAGTATTGCTGGTTGAATGCCAAACCATCATATATCAAGGCAGGAGCAACAAAAATGTTTTGCATTTCATGGACAATGGACTAACTAGACCGCAGTTGTTCTTTGGTTTTTAGTGCTCTTAACCCTTTTACGAACAAATCCGAGTTTTTCTCGGATTCTATTTTTTTTCCTAATAGAATCCGAGAAACGCAACGGCAAAAATTCCACTCCCCACCTTTTTCTCCCCACTAAACCATGTCCTCAAATACAATGCCACCAAATTTCCCCACTCTGCCCACACACACAACAAAACGAAATCACCACCGCAAATGCAAAACGGATACGTCTTGCCCTATTCAAGCCTGATGACATTTGAATACAACACACGCAAAAAGTATAAATCGTTTCCTTTCAATTAGTATTGTGTTGTTGCTGCTAGTGCTATGTTTTGATGTTGTCTTCCCTTTCGAGCAAAAAGGATGTCATCGCTGTCCAAAACATTTCTGACTGTTCGTTCCCGTTCGCTTGTGCATTCTCTTTGCAGCTACCAAAGGTCTCTCGTCCCATACCAACAGAACCTTAGAAAGACGAATCGGCCTCCTTGGGTATGCATGGGATTGCTCCCAAAGCCTTCCACTGCTTCTCCTTCTCCCAAACAGAGGCCGTTGCTGCTGCAGCTTTCGTGATGCCCATCCGGGAGACTTTAAATAATAGGACTTCTCTTGTACCCAAAACGCAGCCTAAACATCACTGTTTTTGAACGATATCGCATGTTTACACTGCATTTTGGGTGAAGAATGAAGAGCGAACACTGAACAAAAAATATAGTTAATTGCCTTTTTTTATTTAAAGTAAAATAAATTTTCTTAGACAAAAAATATATAAATGTCTAGTGAAATGGACTTCTTTTTCTCGCCAAAAATATGGCATGTTAATTAAAAATGTTTTCCCAAGACATTGGCCAATTGTCAGTCACATCGCTGATCAATCATCACTTTCGAAACAGAAAGCTTAGAACCAGCTACTGCATGTCATAGAAAGCAATAATGGAACCAGAATGAAGTTCGAAGACAAGAACAATAGAAAACTATCTCCAGGAAATTACTTTAGGGATTG